GGATATTGAATTAACTAAATAGTATTGAGTTTGCCTTTATATTCCGTACTCTGAATGCTATTGTAACAGCTACGATTGTGGTTGTATAGTGTTGATATTGAATAATTATTGAGATTTTATTGAATTGAAATTGCATTGATATTGAGGTTGGTTTCAAGAGTAAGCACCCTGGTCTCTCTGTAGATAATATTGGGCAGGGCTTTATGAAAAACTGTTTAAAATTATATGTTTATGACAATACTCTATACTTCTATAGTTTCCTACAATTGTTTGCTCTCTCGGGGCTTAAATTTGAAGGTGTGTTGTTACTTCAAATAAGTTTTTATTACATTAAGCTGAGTACACAATAAGTGCTTTGTAGGCAATAGATTTTAATTATGTAATAATAATATTAATTTTTTGAAATGTATATTTTGGAAATACAATACTTACAAGTAATTGGTGATAACGTAGACGTGTGTGTTTTACACACGTACTCCATAATAATAATTATTTTATTATGTATTATTATCCTTGTTCTTACATTATATGTAATTTAATCTGTGTAAATAAAAATGAATTTCCGTACGTTGGTCTCGCTATAACTTGAGAACGGCTGAACGTATTTGTCTAATTTTAGCCTTGAACTGTTTGTGGAAGTCCAGGGAAGGTTTAAATGGTGAACGCAAACAATTTTTAGGCGGAATGAAGTTTGCCAGGTAGTTAAATATAAAATCAGAACAGGGCGAAACATTATAGATATGTAATAATAAACTTTTAGCAAATGTTAATCCAGGGTATCAAAATTAAAAATCTAATTAGTCCGTCAGTTAGATAATGAAAAAATATTAGACACGTATTTTTTTATTTTCTCGTATATTGCAATACTTAGATAAAATCGCGCTAAGTTTAGGAGTGGGAGGTCGTTACGTCATAACGTGCTACAAAATGTGGCACGCTGTGACGTCACATGATATTTCAAATTAAACTGTCAAATACCGCGAGGACACCGGTGACCGCAACCTATTGTTCTTTAATACATCGTCGAAAGTATTTAATTTTGTGAGAAAAGAAAAATACGTGTCTAATGTTTTAAATTAATGTACCAGACGGACATTAAAATAAAATTTCGGAAACTACCCTGTTTATTGGAGACATATCTCATTATCTACCCTTCCCTTGCTGATAACAAACATGATATTTGTGAAATCTCTGTATATGCATCTTTATTTTTTATCTATTGCAATAAGATTACAGCTTTAGGGGGTTATTTGTCGCCCATTTTCACGAGGTTGGTGATCAATTTTAAGGAAGTCCTAATCTAAGGGTAACACTTAGCGATGTTTTCACCTACCTACATGTGGCAGCTAACAGTACCGTTAAGGTTAGTTTCGACGCTTCCTGACGTTAAAGGTGGTTGGTGAAAACGGCCGTTTAGTTTTATAAATATTTTAAAACATTCATGTTTGCATAAAATTTATTGATTTTTCTATCTTGACAGGGGTGCAAATGCCGCCTTGATTACCCATGTTAATTTTTATGTAATTCTAGAGTCAAATGTTATGTAACTTATGTAGGTATTTCCAAAATATACATAAAATAAAACTATACAAACTTAGAAGGACCACATTTATCAGTGCCATATCAATATAGATTGTTACATTTTAATTATAATACACGGTTTGAAAAAATATCAAATGCATTGTTTTATTTCATAAAATCGACCTTATCGACATCAACTACCGCAAAGTTAAGTTCGACGGTTCGTTAAACTGCCGTCACCACACGACACTGGCAGTATAGTCGACAAGATCGTTTTGGAGACTCGTTTGCCAAAGAGGTGAAAAAAAAAAAAACGTTGCTACCGTCCGTGCGTCACTGCAAAGGTGGAAACTGAAAAACAGCTCATACTGAGTTGGCAAATCCTTTGTCATGGGTATGATTATTTTTTTATATATATATATTTTTGACTACCTCGTTGGCAGTGGTCGTAAGTGCGACTGCCCGGCAAAGGGTTTCGGGTTCGATTCCTGGATTGGGCAAAATATTACAGAGTTTTAAAAAAATTCTCAGTGGCAGCACGAAGTCTGGAATCGTACCCGGTATATGGCTTACCTCCTATTACATGGGACTTATAACATAAAATAGTGAACATTTTGCTGGGGTAACGTTTTTGGTTTTGCTAGATCTTTGAAATGGTTAACCGGATTCTTATCATATTTTGTACATGACTTCTTAGGAATTAGTTTAAATTTTTTCTGCAATAATAAAGCCAAAATAATACATTACTTAAAGGTTATTTCATTTTTGAATTCATTCATAGAAACGTAGGGTAACTTAGGTAGCCAATGTGTCTATCGTAAAAATTGTCGGTCCTTCGGGGCCTCCTGACAATTAAGACCCTGAGCACGGGCCCCGAATGCCCTGATGGTAACTACGGTGCTGGGTTCATCAGAGAGCGCTGCTGCACGGTCTGATAATGTCGCCTATTCGGGTATATTACACTAGCTACTTCTGCGCGGTTTCACCCGCTCTGCTCAGCTCTTACTGGTCGTAGCGTGATGTTTTATAGCCTATAGCCATCCTCGATAAATGCGCTATCCAACACAAAAAGAATTATTCAAATCAGACTTGTAGTTACGGAGATTAGCGCGTTCAAACAAAAAAGTAAACTTCCGCTTTATATAATAAAGTATAAGAAGTATAAGATATAAGATAAGCGGGAAGACAAGTGGCGGTGACAAATGAAAATACAGATATGAAAAATACATACATACATACATACATACATAACTTCACGCCTGTCTCCCATGGGGGTAGGCAGAGACTAAGGAACGCCAATTACTACGATTCTTACATACCTCTTTCGCTTCATTAACAGTCATCAATCTTTTCATGCATGCTCGTCGGGCGCCCTAGACGGACATATAGTGACCAGACTGGCGATATATTAAAGAAGGGCCAAATTAAAAGTACCCTTAACCGACGAGCATATGAAAAATATATTATCTTTATTTTTAAATCACTCTTAACACAATAAATAATAAAATATTGTTAAATTTAATAAAAATTGGACGGCTTACAATACATATAAAATAGTATGGAATGTTTACAAAATATTTTGTTATCATGTCCGTTTATTGTCAGGTCAAGGGGTTTACTCTTCAATCCGATTGGGTACTTTCTTGAATCAAAATTACATTATTTCGACTGTTCTATACAATAAAATATGAATAGTTATTCAATCCGGCCTAGAGTTACCATACTAATCTAACTAATATTATAAATGCTCAAGTTTGTCTGTATGTTTGTTCATGACAAAACATCATCAATCATGAAGAAGGGATCGAGATGAAATTTGGAACAAGTGAAGGTTTTTTTTTTATGGAATAGGAGGCAAACGAGCAGACGGATCACCTGATGGTAAGCGATCAGCGCCGCCCATGGACACCCGCAACACCAGAAGAGTCACAGGTGCGTTGCCGGCCCTTTAAAAAGGAGTACGCTCTTCTCTTGAAGGTTTGAAGGTCGTATCGGTTCGGAAATACCGCCGACGACAGATCATTCCACAGTTTTGCTGTGCGAGGCAAGAAGCTACGTGAGAACCGCACAGTTGTGGCCTGCCAACCACAGTTATGGTCTGGAAAAACACATTGGTTACTTTTTATGTGGAACGCGGGCGAAGCCGCTGGCAGAAGCTAGTTTACAAATTAATGGTCGAGCTGAAGTAACGTTGTAATTTATTTATAACTAGCCTTAAACCGCAGCTATGACCGTGTCGTGTTACCCAGGCCAGATGTTGTCGAAAATGGTCTTTTGAATCTTATGGATAATTTTTGCGAATTTTGTAATTGTTGAGCACATTTTTAAATTTGTTGCGCCGTTATTACCGTTCAGTTCATATATTCAATCCAGTGGCCAAATAATACCGCGCTCATCAAGACCGTGCTCGTGAAGAACTCAATATCATCATAACTTGTTCAATACTTACAAGATACTAATGAAACTTAAACTGTCAAACACCGCGAGGACACCGGTGACCGCAACCTATTGTTCTTTAATTGTGTCTATAATGACGGTACTCAAACGGTTAACATACATTTGAAGGCAGTTACAAGCTTTAAAATAACGTTTAAAGTAAGTCTTTAGAGCTCTTATTGGGAAGGCTGGGACAAATTGAAGTTTTTTTCTATTTAATGAAATAACCTTTAAGCTATGTATTATTTTGGTTGTTTTATTGCAGAACAAATTTAAACTAATTCCTAAGAAGCCATGTACAACATATGATAAGAATCCGCTTAACCATTTCAAAGATCTAGCAAAACAAAAAACGTTACCCCAGCAGAATCTCGAATAACTTCGCAACCGATGAAAGAACAAATACAAAATAAGGCACAACATTTACTTCATCTAGACAACTAGTTTTATAGCTAGTAATTATTTAAATATTCCCATTAGAAAGAAAAAGGTCTGGCTGGGGTAACGTTACCTCAGCAGGAAATGTTTTTGTGTAATAATTAAAAAACTATAAGCGCAACAAATTTAAAAATGTGCGCAACAATTACAGAAGCCGCACAACTAATTATCTATAAAATTCAATTGACCATTTTCGACAACATCTGGGCTGGGTAACGGACACGACCGTGTCCTATTACCCAATGCCTTATTCCGTACTCCAAACTGCAACTAGGTATGCAAAGTTTAAATAGTTTGCAAAACGTCGACAGGTACAAAGAATAGTTGCTTTGTCGGCGATCCGACAAACAAACCCTAAGACATAGGTTATAATTGCGGAAGTAAGTGTCCTCTTTACGCTTCATATCTAAACTTACGCCAGAATACTGAAGAAACATTTAAAGTTGTACTCAAATATCATGCCATCTCTGTCATTTTACAAAGAATTTGTGGAGACAGAACTATACTTCAAGCGACGTATAATTGAGTGACATTTGAGTATTCAGCGTCATCTTGTTAATATTTATCAAGGAATACGGCTAAATTCACTCGAGCAAAGTTGCGGGTAAAAGCCAGTATTGTCTATGAATATATAAAAAAGAGCTAATAATAGTCCGGCACAGGAGCGCATGCAATCTTCACGAAGTCTTCATAACGAACAGTGCCATTGTTAGACACATTGGCTTCCCTGAAGATGTTGTCCACCTGGAAACAAAAATACGGTAGTTGACAGGTAGTCAAATTCAATACTTTTATTTGAACGTCAAAAACTATACTTTTCTATGAATGTTGTATTGGATCGCTACTTATGACGTCATCATATTTCTGCGCCAAATAGTATACTTATTTCCTTAAAATAAACGAGAAAAAAATTCAAAAGTAGGTAAATTGTCAAATCAATGGATGAGAGTATGATTATTTTTTAAATATTTATTGCATTGAAAAGTTGAAACAATTTATTTTTAACCTAGGAGACTCGCTAGCGGAGACAGGCCACTGCTGGATTGAGTCTCCTCTACATAGAGGGTTTGCCATAATCTCCGCAGGCAGGCGGGTTGGAGATCGCAGTATAAAAGGTTCAGGTTTATCAGAGAGCGATTAGATAGTGCTACTGGCCGATCAACGTTAAAGGTTCCTTAGGGCAAGGCCTACGCTGGGACCCATGGACACACAAAAATTCGGGGCCCTTTAAAATGTTCTTTTTTTAACTTATTCATTGCGGCAGAGAAAATTTACTTTATATTTCAGGTGCTGGTTGGTTTTCGTCTATATCGCCGATGGGCGTCCTCAGCATCTCAAATGGATAATATAACTTGGTTTTTGCCAAGAAATATACAATTGTAAGAAAACGCTGATAGGCGTAGTCCGCATCAGCAGCTGTAGCCAAATGCCATTTAGCGCTTGTCTACATGTAGAATAGAAAACCAAATTATGCGGGATTAACGTAAATTTTGACACTTGTCATTGTCATCCTCATACATTTTGATTTCTACACTCTCGGTAGACAAGCCCTAAAGTGGTGTTTGGCTAAAGGGACTGAATATGAATTAAAAAATCGCCGATAGGCGTCTGCCGCACGCGAATGGGTTAACATTTCCCCACAATAGGATTTTCTCCTGTGTCGTGGGTGCGTTTACAAACATACAAGTTCACATACACATCACACCTAGACCCGAAACAACAATTTGTGGATCACACAAATTGAAACAAGTGAGTATCGGTCCTTTGTAGCCAATAAGGATGGGGGTCCTGGGCACGGGCCCCGAGCGCCCTGGTAAAGACGGTACTGTTTTAGGGCCCATTTTTCCAACCCTGGATAAATTTTAACCAAGGAAAAAATTTGAATATCTGACAAATCTTCCATACTAAACACTGTCAAATGTCAATTTTATTCTACAGTTAAGAATTAACTGATGATTGAAAAATCGGTAAGGGCCTTACCCCTTACTTAGTACTTAAGTATAATTTTCAATCAAAACGAAACGCATTTGATGAATATGGGTGTTGTATACTCTGGGAAAAGGGCATTGACTAAAATTGGTGCCTTTCTTTTTTCTGGCGGCAGTCGATGATTTATAGAAAATATTATCTAGAATGACATTACAAACGAAATTGTCTATGGGCTCATATAAGGAATTCTCAGTCTGGACTGAGTTATGAGCGTTGAAAGGAGCTGGAGCCAAACATTTTACTTTGGTTTTTTTAATCAAATTATTCCTATTTTTGTCACAATTCCTAACTTTAAATTGCGCGCCACTGTACGCTAGGCACAGGAACACCATATCATATCACATTATATCCATATTGCCAGGCACTAATTTTTATTAGCTATTTACTCTCAGTCGATAACTTGTGGGATGCTTCTAGGAGTTGTGTCATGAAGCTTCATGAGCGTCAGTGGTCGTACCAGTGGTGGGTTGAGTAGTGGTAGCCGTCCAAACATCTAAAAAAGTTTTTTTTTTTGCCGTTGACTCCTGATGTGAGACTTATCTACTTTATAGTCAGCATAATCTTTTGAAGAAAGGAAACCGTTAACTTTGTACAGCCCATCAGGCTATACGTCAGATGAGCGAATAATTTTTCCATATAATGTGATCAGCCGAAATATAATCCATCACTTTGTGACTAAATGACGATATCTTTGTACAGAATCTTATTCTAGCTGTCGATTAAAGTATTAATTGTAGTTAGATTAGTTACTAATCCGGAGTAAGTCGGAAGAAGTAGACAGAAAAATGATTTTTTAGTTTTGACAACTGCCACTACTTAATCCTCTACCGACGCTGCAGCTGACAAACATAGCATTTCATGATAGGACTCAGTAAAGTGTTTTACGGGTTTTCGGCTTTCGACGTATAGTTACATATAAAGTGAACACGCTAGCCAATCAAGTGAAATGTTTTTTTTTTACTTCAGCAGTGGCCAGTTAATGGTTCACTCTGTTCTGATTCCGTGGCCTTATAACAAAAAAAAAAATAAGTAAAAAAGTCCACAATAAGCTTTTATATTCCTTGAAATCGTTAATAAACATTTATTACAAAATATTTCTGACAAGTAAATGAAGAAATATGCGTTGTGTACGGTCACCATCAACAAAATAACAGGAATAATATGACACTATTTTCACATCTTTGAACCGATTTAACTCGGTTTGGACTGTGTTTTTGATATAAGACCCCATATATTTTTTTGTTTGTAATGTTATTCTGCATCAGTTTTTCCACATCCGATCAACTGCCGCGAAAAAACGAAAAGGCACCACGCTCCATACAAATTTGGTCATTGTCATTTTGGCATATATTTTTATGTAATTTAATTATAGTAATCTCACCTCTCTAGCGGATAGGCCTTCGCCCCAGTTCTGCAGCAGGTTACGAAGCTGTTTAGCTGGTATAACTCCTGACTTCTCTGTGTCACCGGCTTTGAACGCATTCACTACCTGTAAGATACCACAAAATGTATAAGAATTAAATTTTAATGCTAGTTTCTGTCTGGCTCAGTAAGCAGTTGAGTAGTGCCATTAGAGACATGTGTTGGGTTTGAATCCGGACCTGCCGGTTAAATATTATTGATTCACATAATTGTTGCGCACATTTTTAAATTTGTTGCGCTTATAGTTCTTTAATTATTTCATAAAAACATTTTCTGCTGGGGTAACGTTATCCTAGCCAGACCTTTTTCTTGCTAATGAGAATTTTTAAATAATTGTTAATTAGTTGTCTAGGTGAAGTAAATCTTGTGCCTTATTTTGTATTTGTTCTTTCACTGGTTGCGAAGTTATTAGAGATTCTGCTGGGGTAACGTTTTCGGTTTTGCTAGATCTTTGAAATGGTTAAGCGGATTCTTATCATATTTTGTACATGGCTTCTTAAGAATTAGTTGAGTACCGTCATTATAGACACAATTATAGAACAATAGGTTGCGGTCACCGGTGACCGCTTGGTGTTTGACAGTTTAAATTTACATATACGGTACATGGCAATAGGCTCACCCAATGTGCACCTCTTCGGGGATGTTATGTTAGAATAACTTAACAACAATTACCTCATTTGGTAGATTTTCAGCGCGGGAATGTATGTGCATCACTTCCAAGAAATCTGCAAAGGACATCTTGCCCCCTTTACCTTTCAGATATCCTGAAAAAATTACAAAACTCACTTGTATTATCCGATGTATTTCCACATTCGAGGTTATATAAATTCATAAGAAGCTGAAACTTGGACAAAATCGTTCAAAACATGATTATAAAAGAGACTTCAAACATCCTCATCGGTCCTTTGTGTGCTAAAAAAGTAAAAATTTGGCATAAGGTTTTATTAACCATATTATAATTCGAGGGGTAACGGGCTATTTGGTTTAAGCGACATTTTGGGCGATATTGAGTTATTATATATATTCGACGGAGAAAAATTCGCTGATTCCGAATATATATATAACTCAATATCGCCCAAAATGTCGCTTAAACCAAATAGCCCGTTACCCCTCGATTATGATATTATTTCGGAATAGCTTTAAAACACTTTGTCCTCAAGGTTATTTTCTTTTTCCGTCTTCTTGACTAAATATTGGTGTTACATTGTTCTCACATAATTGAACTCAACGAAACAATGTAACCAAAAATTGTATTGTAATCTGATTGAAAAAGAGTAACTTAAGGAGTTTCTTACTCGTTCTCCTCCATAGGAATCTACACTTTGGAACGAGCAAATAGCTTCACTAGAGGACTGACCTACAGACTGAAAATTTTCTTTAAAACTAAAATGTTTTTTGATTTCAAATGTGCCTTTCTGGTCTAATTGAAATAAATGATTTTGACTTTGACTTTGAATTAGGGTAGAAATGCCCTTGCCCTGCAGTGGGACAATCATGGCTGCAAATAGAACATAACATAACATAACATCACGCCTTTTATCCCCGAAGGGGTAGGCAGAGGTGCACAATATGCCACTGTACATTGTAACACCCAAATAGAATAAAAATATAATTTTATAAAGTTACCAGCCAACTCCTGTATAGTGGGGCTCATCCCCAAGGACCTCATGACCACTGTGAGCTCATCGAGTGATGTGATTTGCCCCGACCGGGCAAACAGGTAGAAACATTCACGGAATTCTGGAAACATTTTATATTTCATAAAAACTGAGTGACTGCGATTATTTTAATTACTAACGGACCTCAGGTATTTTGTTTGTACTTGGATTTTTTTCTGTAATATCTATTATTTTTGTTTTAGATAACAACCTTTTCCTAACAAACTAAACAAAAAAGAATTAGCGTACTTGGATCAACTACTGGAGAGATTTGGGCTTTGCAACATATTTAGTGATTCAGTTTAATATAGGGGGAAGTCCTGTAACACCGGACACTTGTATTATCGCGATAACTGATAACACGAGCGATTCAATTTTTACTAAAAATCTTAGGTGTCTGCCACTGGGAGACTTCTCCCTAAAAATTGAATCGCTTGCATTATTATTTATCGAGATAATACCTACAAGTATCAGGCGTTAGGTGCCGTCCGGCGCTAGCGGACTTCCCCCTACATGTTATTGACAATTTGTGTAAGTGTGTCATCTATATTTATAAATCCTGTAATTTTAGTTAAAGATGGAAAGAAGTAAAAAGTAATAGTATAAAAGCATTAATATTACAGAAATCTTTGAACCAATTAAAAATAAAAGAAAATAACTAAAATAAGATATTAACAACTAGCTGATGCTCGCGGCTCCGCTTGCGTGGATTACGGACTTTGTGACTAACCTGAGAAATTAATGTCAACCGCAATTTTCACTTCTTAATTATTTTACCTCAAAAATAATGTAAGTCATTTACCTACTATGACCGAAATTCTTCATGCAAGGTTAAGTAACTAAAATCTGATTGGAATTTTTCAAAAATTTTAACCATATCTTATTATTTCTTATATAAAAGGGGATCGTAAGAAAACTGGGGATTCCTTTTTATAAACTGTATAGGTACTCTTCTCCAAAAAGAACATCAGTAACATAGTATTCGTATTTTTAAAGCATGTGCAATCAGGCGACGAAACTTTATGCATAACAAATAAAGTTTCTATAAAACTTTCTAAAGTTTTAAGATACCGTTAGATACGACAAAAACAAACATTGAAAAACTAAGGTTTCCAGCATAATTTAGAAGTTCTAATTGGAAATATCTTATAAGAATCTATGTTTCTTATTCTTTTGTTTCAAAAATACAAACTTTCTTTGTTAAAATCACGAAATTATCGCGAAATCTTATCACACGATAAGTGGAACATACCATCAATATCCTGTTCCTTGAAATAACGGGCCTGGAACAAAGGAATTGTAAGTTATTACAAAAGATTGCTTAATTTAGATTCCAAATAAAGACATTTACTTACCATTTTGATTAGGTTTTTGAAAATTAAACGAAAAAACAGAAAGAAAACAAATTAGGACACACAAAATTCCCCGTCCCGTTTGACATTGACAGATTGATACGTCAAAGTCAAACATAAACTTTGTGTTCCATCCTTCGATTTCAAGGAATTCCACATTTTTAACATTAAAGCTTGTTACATACTTTGATGATACGACGTTAACACGTTCATGATTTTTTTTTCGGTTTCATTTTAAGCAGTTGTTATAAACACACGTTCTAAATCACTATTTACTGGTTTCATTTACAATCAGAAAACAAAATAAATAAATCAAACTAATATGTCATTTGCAAAAGGACCAGTATTCCAACTTGCCATTATTTTACCTAATCTGTGATTCAACATGGGCGACCAATCAGCTGACATTTCTGAAGGCATATTTTTCCATGGTGTAATTATCTAAATTGGGTAAATTATTACATAAAACCCGTTCCGAGACAGTTTTCAGTGATAAATTCGTTATTCAAGTGAATAATTAATCATCATCTGTTATGGATATCGAGATCAGAGTTGCGTGAGTACATACATGTTAATCTTGAGAATTTGCTATTTAATTTCCGCATTTCTTACGATCTTACCTTGTACTTGATTTAGATAAGAGGACAATATGTGTCCTTTGACCGCCACTGAGGTTTTACACAGTATTTATGAAAGAAAATTAGGCTAAAGTGTTAAATTATCGATTTATTTTAATACGTATATCTTCAATGCCATCCCATGCTTGCATTACGTATACGGACAAAATAGATGAAAATTGTAAAGCACGATTTTATATTTTTTATTTGTTCACCTTTTTATGCCTATTATTAGTGATTTTTATCATAATACTGTAAATTTTGGAAGTGTTTTGCTTATTTAGTAAGTAGGTACTACATGTATACACATTCAGTATTATTCTTAAAAAAAAATATAGGCAAATACCTTGGCATTGAAAAAAAAAAACGTTAATTTTGTAGTAAAATATTGCATGCATGTTGCATTAGAATCATACAAAAAACATACTATTTACATACATTCTTCGATGATGTAATTGTTGATATTTATTGCTTACAAACTTCAACTATGTTTTCATCATTTTATCTAATCTCAAACTCTCCTCTTACAATTTGAAATTTTCTTTTCATAATATAACAAAAACAAAAATAAAGTATCTTAAAAACAAAAATTAATTATTCTAGTTAGAATAAGGTCTAGAATACAGTGGTAAATATTATATTATCAATTTACGTAATTATACATTACCTAGTTAGCTACCTACTCTCATGTGGTTTCATCTGTTCTTCTCTGCTCCTATTGATTACAGTGTGATGTTTTATAGCCTTCCTTAAAAAATGCACTATTCAACACAAAAATAATTATTCAAATTGGACCAGTTGTGTCGGAGATTAATCCTTTGAAATAAACTCTTTATCATATTCCTAGATACTCTCGCGTTTCACCCACTTTACTCGGCTCCTATGGCTCCTAGCGTGATATTTTATAGCCTGTAATCTTCCTCGATAAATGCACTATTCAACAAAAAAAGAATGAAAATTAGACCAATAGTACCGGAGATTAGCGTGTTTAAACAATCTCTTCTGCTTTATATATTACTAGCGACCCGCTCCTGCTTCGCACGGGTGTAATATGCATGTGTTATTCATATAAACCTTCCTTAAGTATTGACCTATCTATTAAAAAAAACCGCATCGAAATCCATTGCATAGTTTTAAATATCTAAGCATACATAGGGACAGACAGACGGCGGATAGCGACTTTGACGTATTATATAACAACAACAACAACAACATAACATCACGCCTTTTATCTCCGCAGGGGTAGGCAGAGGTGTAACACCCATTTTTCCACTATTTATGTTACAAGTCCCATGTAATAGGGAGTGAGCCTACTATATACCGGGCACAATTCCAGACTCCGTGCTACTACTGAGATTTTTTGAGGAAACCCTTCCAATTGCGACTACTCGGCCAATGAGGCAGTCTAAAGTAGTATAAAGTTGTGCCATTTTACAAGTTGGTAACTAGAATCAATAATCAATCTGTTGTTAGACTCTGACTGGCCCGAATCAAAAGTGGAGATAATATTTATGTAGGTATGTTGCATGACAGTAAATGTTTTCTATTACATATATGGAACTGATAACAAAAGCTGATGTAAAGAGAGTTATTTGTACCATGTCGGCTTATTGTCTTTGGAGAAAATCAAAGGCCAAGAATATTGTTTGTATTGAACACTATATTCTGTTTGAATAAAAAGTAGTTACGGTGTTTTTTTATGTACAGGGGAACGCCGCATTGGCCAAATGGTCGCGACTGCCGGGTAAGGGGTCTCGGATTCGATATCCGGGTCGGGCAAAGTATTACAGGGTTGTTAAAAAAAAATCTCAGTAGTAGCACAGAGCCTGGAAATGTGCCCGTTATATGGCAATAGGCTCACCCCCTATTTTAAGTGTGGGAGAGCCATGCTTCGGCACGAATGGGCCGGCTCGACCGGAGTGATATCACGGCCTCACAGAAAACCGACGTGAAGCAACGCTTGCGTTGTGTTTTGTCGTATGAGTGAGGTTACCGGAGGCCCGATTACCTTCCCCTTCCCCAATCTCCCCGATCCCTGAATCCTCAACAATCCTCAAATTTCTAATCCCCAAAAGGCCGGTAACGCACTTGTAAAGCCTCTGGTGTTCCGTGTGTCCATTGGCGCCGACTGCTTACCATCAGGTGATCCCTCCCTTCAATACATAGTATAAAACAAAGTCGCTTTCGCTGTATGTCCGTATGTATGCTTAGATCTTTAAAACTACGCAACGGATTTTGATGTGGTTTTTTTTAATAGATAGAGTGATTCTTAAGGAAGGTTTATATCATGCATATTGCACCCGTGCGAAGCCGGGGCGGGTCGCTAGTATCTTATAAAGAAAATTTATTTTACAGTGATATTACATGGACCCCCCTATCACATGGGGCTCATAACAGAAATAGTGAAAAGTAGGTATTACATTGTACAGTGGCATTAAGTGCCGTAATGTAAACCTCTGCCTATCCCTTCGTGATTTTTTTTAAGGGGGAAAATCATCGACTGACTTCTCCCGCCTAGGTGAGGCGGGAGGAAGTGTCAGACTGACTAAAAACCACCTCATTCCTACTCCTGCACTTCAAACCGGAAACCTGTTAAGTTTTCCGCGGCTTCGTATCGCAGTCCTATTGGGCCCCATCCGTGGTGGTCTATGAGGCGCACGTGCAACGCGACGCGCCGTACGCTCCTCCCTCCGAAATACCTTTTATCCCCGCTATGTATGTTATTTTAGTGATCATTATAATTGATAACAACAACGGGGGGCTGTTTGTAATTAAACAAACAGTTACTGACAATACAATATAATGAAGCAATAATAAGTTTATTTATAGTCACAAGTCGTAGTTGTTAGTAAACAACACTGTTCATACATATCAACAGCTTGCTTCTGTCCACGGCTTGACCTGCGTTCCCTTAGGACAAAACGTAGCCTGCATGTTATTCCAGACAATAATCTAGACCAGGGCGCTTACTCTTGAAACCAATCTCAATGTCAATGCAATTTCAATCCAATAAAACCTCAATAATTATTCAATGTCAACACTATACAACCACAATCGTAGCTGTTACAATAGCATTCAGAGTACGGAATATATAGCCAAACTCAATACCATTTAACTTAAAATCGCGGGTTACTCACGTGAATATACTGAGAAAAGCTCTACTAGTTTCGAACCACAGAGGAGTTCTTCGTCATGAGCAAGGATCCGCTGGCGGTGCCCGAAGTGTACATAATACCGTGCGACTGTGGCTCGAGTTACATCGGGGAAACTCGTCGCAACATCGAAACCAGGCTAAAGGAACATATACGCAGCGTGAAGAAGATGGATATCCAGGCAGCAGTGGCTGAACATGTTTGCGGTACGGACGCGACTCACTTCATACGGTTCAATTTTTTCCAAATAATAGGTTTTCTCAAGGCTCTCAAAATACGCGTTTGTTTCGGTAATGACTTTTTCATTAGACTCAAATCTCTTACCACACAGCCATTTCTTTTGGTTTGGAAACAGGTAATAGTTGCAGGTGGGCTAATCTGGAGAATATGCTGGATGGGGTAGGAGTTCGTATCTCAATTCGTGGATTTCGGCCATCGTGACTAAACAATTGTGCACACGTGCATTGTCTTGATGAAACAGCACTTTCTTCTTCGCCAAATGCGGCCATTTTTGCTTCAAGTCAACGTCTAATCTGTCCAAAAGCTTTGATTAATTCGCCGGTGATTGTTTTACCTTTCTCGAGGTAATCAATGTGAATGTCCTTGACCTTGTTGGCTGACAGACTCTGGTTGGCCTTCTTTGGTCCACGTTCAACCCGAGCAATCCACTTTTTCATTGTTCCTTAGTCTCTGGAGTGTTGTAATGGATCCATGTTTCGTCCACAGTCACAAAGCGGCAAAAAATTTGCCCGGATTACAGTTGAACATTGCTAAACATTCTTTTGAAGTTGAGCGCTTATAGTTTAATGTGAGTAATTGCGGCACCCATCTAGCGGACAGTTTTTTCATGTCCAAATATTCGTGTAAAATATGATGTAACTGTTCAGTTGAGATACCTACAGCATGAGCCAACTCACGCACTTTCATTCTCCGATCATCCAAATTCCAATATCATTTCATGTATTTTATCGACGCGTGATCACTTCTTTTGGGCGACCTGACCTGCCTTAGTACGAGTTTGATTTACACAAGGTGTCTGCTTGGAATGGCTATCAAACACCAACTGCATGACATATGTAGCTTGCTGAAAATTTGACAGTTGCTCACTAATAGGTTACAGTTGACGGCAGCACTGTCGCATTTGGAATAACTGCGCGGGAAATTCAAAAAGTCACTCACTTAGCAAACCGCCTAAGCATAACTCGGAAAATGTCACATTTGTACTTGCCGTTGGTAGGTTTCGAACCCTCACCCCCTTGCATGAGAATCAGGCGTCTTAACCTTCGAGCCACCGCGACATTTTACTTCTAAATCACTATATTTCCTTAAACTTAAGTGGAGATAAAATTGTGATTAATTTTATCTTTAGGTTATAGTGATAAGAATGTAATATTCATTATGATTTGTCACTATACAATATAATAGCAGCCCGTCCCGGCTTCGCACGGGGTAGACAATTATTTATTTTTGGAAATTTGGATTGTTGTAGTGACATAACTAAAATAGTTAGACATACGCTACCGCGGAGTTTTTTGTAGACATTATGATGTTCTTCAATATTGTTGTACATTATTTTGTTCTATCGCTAATAGTTTTGGCATCGCATTCGACGAAAGACATTTTAAGACTAATTTTTCTACACCTTTGGTTACATTGTTCAAATTTTACCAAGGATCCCTAATTTTTTTCAAAATGAAATGTAGCCTATGTCAAATTGGAAGAATGCAGCATTCTATTGGTGAAAGATTTTTTTAAATCGGCCCAGTACTTTTTGAGCCTATCCATTACAAACATACAAAAATAGGTACAAATCTTTCCTCTTTATAATATTAGTATAGAAGTATAGAAGTATAGATGACTATCAATGTGTAATTGTATAAGTTATCTATCTTTCATAGGCCTATGCATGAAATTGATGTTCTGCAGTACCTACTGGTCATTTCAAATCAAAATAATATTTGTTTGGCTTTTTTTTAAGGGGGGAAAATCATCGATTAACTGCTCTCGCCTGGGTGAGGAGGGAGGGACTGTCAGACTCTTATTGATTAAAAACCACCCCGTTCCTTCTCCGGCGCTTACACGACACAAACAAAATCTTATTTTTTGACTCAATAGAATGACTCATTAGATTTTTAATTTTCATACCCTGTCATCATCCCTACTATTTTCTCGACTAGGCAATTGAATCCGAGACCTAACTTGCTCGGCGGTCGCACTTGCGACAAATAGAAAAACGAGAAAGATTAAGAACAAAGAATAATTTGTCATATTAGTATAAACACTGCTCTGCTTCGTTGGCCGAGTGGTCGCAAGTGCGACTGCCGGCAACGGGTCTCGGGTTTGATTCCCGGGTCACGCAAAGTATTACTGGGGTTTAAAAAAAATCTCAGTCGTAGCACGGAGTCTGGAATCGTGCCCGGTTTATGGCAATAGGGTCACCCCACATTACATGGGACTCATAACATAAGTAGTGAAAAGTGGGTGTTAGATTGTACAGTGGCATAATGTGCACCTCTGCCTAACCCTTCGGGGATAAAAGGCGTGATGTTATGTTATGGTATGTAATAATTTGTTAGATTATTATAAACATAATTATAAACATTTATTATAAATGAATAATAATAGGATTTTAACTGACTATAATATGACAGTTTAAAGATATAATAAATTGTATAATCTTCACAGGCGCACTTTGATCACTTGGTGAGCCGATCAATGACCTCGTGTTTCATTCCGGAGTCGCGTTTCTGAGATTTTCTCGTTAGAACACATTTTTTTTTCTATACGGCAAATTTAAAACTTTTTCGAACTGTCAAAAACGACAGTTTTCTATGAATTTTGTACGAGATTGTGTATTGTGACGTCACGTTTTTTTAGCGTCAAACAGCATAGTTATTTCTTTGCTGGAAAAATACATAAAATTAATTAATGACAGTGTGATTATATTCTAATATTTTATTGTATTGAACAGTCGAAATAATTTGTTTCTGATTGAGGTATGTAAATACCCAATAGGGTAGATGACTAATTTTTATTTCAATATCCGTCTGGTAGATTTATTTAAAAACACAAGATACGTATTTTTAATTTTTTTACAGAAACGAATACTTTCGACGATATATGGATTTGAAATGTCGCGTGACGTCACTTCTATGTACATTTTATACGTAGAAATGACGTTTTAGCCCCCACTCCTAAACTTTGATTCTTTATATCTAAGTATCATTTTATTATACAATAAAATAAAAAAATACGTGTATAATATTTTTTCATTACCTAACTGACGGACTAATTACATTTTTAGTTTTCATACTCTGTCATCATCCCTATTGTAAGCAGACACAATACTAGAGGTAACACGAGTGTGCGCTGACCTTAGAGTGAACAGGGGGCTTACTCTTGAATCCAATTCCGATCGATCGACATTGACATTGTGAAATTTCGTACTCTTGAGTTGTAACACTAGCGCCGTTTGCATCCGTATTGCGTGGATATTTCATGAACTAAATGGTATTAAGTTTGGTTTTATATTCCGTACTCTAAATGCTACTTTAGCAGTTACGATAGGGGTTGTATAGTTTTGAAATTGGATAATTATTGAGATTTTATTGGATTGAAATTGCATTGACATTGAGATTGGTTTCAAGAGTAAGCACCCAGGAGGCTTACTCTTGAATCCAATTCCGATCGATCGACATTGGTATTGCGAAATTTCGTACTCTTGAGTTGCAACACTAGCGCCCATTGCATCCGTATTGTGTGGATATTGAATGAACTAAATGGTATTGAGTTTGTCTTTATATTCCGTACTCTGAATGCTATTGTAACAGCTACGATTGTGGTTGTATAGTGTCGACATTGAATAATTATTGAGATTTTATTGGATTGAAATTGCATTGACATTATAGATAGATAGATTCATTTATTTGCCCGAAATATGGTGGTTTACAGATTTTATGACATAACATTAGTTCATCATATCTCGCCTATAAATTTGGCATGCAAATACTTCAACAAAACTAAATCACAATTTTCAAAAATGATTCTAAGTTAGAACAAACAATCTAAACACAACCCTTGCTAATGATTCCAAATCAAAACAAGAGAAACTAAGTTACAATTTCCAATATAATCAATAATGACTCCAATTCAAAACAAAAAAATTGAGATTGGTTTCAAGAGTAAGCGCCCTGATATATGACATTATGTTCTAGTAGTCATCAGAAACGGAATTTCTTCTCTATCAGTCATTATTTTTTTTAATTGAGTTTCTTATTTTTTATCATAAAATTGAAAATCTCTAAATAGAAATGAAGTTAGTTATAATTTACTAACTTCATTTAATACATTACATTACATAACATCACGCCTTTTATCCCCAAAAGGGTAGGCAGAGGTGTTCATGCTGTTCATTATGGCACTGTACAATGTAACACCCACTTTTCACTATTTATGTTATGAGTTCCATGTAGTAGGGGGTGAGCCTATCGCCATATACAGGGCACAATTCCAGACTCCGTGCTACTACTGAGAATATTTAAAAACCCAGTAATACTTTGCCCAACCCGGGAATCGAACCCGAGACCCCTTGCCCAGCAGTCGCACTTGCGACCACTCGGCCAACGAGGCATTGAGAGGAACGGAATGTCTCACGATAGTTATTATACATTATTGTTTTATTTGTTCCAGATCCTGCATGCAGTCAAGGAAATCAGAATAAAAAAACCATGGAAGAACCTATAAGTGTAACCATAGAAAATCATTTGGACACAAATAAAATCACTTAGTTTCAAACTAAATTAAAAAATAACAAAACTAAAATTAAAAAACTAAAACATAGCAAAAGCAACCAGGGATCTAGTCTCTATAGAGCAATATAAATAAAAAGATAATAGTGCAATTAAAATATATTAATAATATTATAAATAAAATAGAAAAAGATTAAATTATATTTATTAATTTTTATTTTGTATAGATTTTTTTTTCGCTGTTCATGTTTAAATGTTGTTGTTGGTAAAGAAGTAATTATTAAAAAAAAAAGTATAGTTGCTAGTGACTTTTGAATGTAGTTGACAGATAATTCCATTCTATTTTTAAATAATTTAAAAAGAATAGTTTGACTATTACTAATGGTTACCAAAGAGTTTATATATAGAGTATAAATAGCTTATGAGTCGGGGTGGTAGAAGGGGTGTGAATGCAATTTGACCATAGAGAAATTAGACAATATAACATGGCCGCCACGATGGTTGAGTCGCCCCCTCCTCAGTTGATTACGACTATAGAATGGAGTATGATGGATAAAACCAAGTTTTTTCCATTATATACCTTGAGCAGTTTTACAGGTAATTATACATATAATAATAATAACATAACATCACGCCTTTCTTCCCCGAAGGGGTAGGCAGAGGTGCACATTACGGCACTTAATGCCACTATACAATGTAACACCTACTTTTCACTATTTATGTTACGAGTCCCATGTAATAGGGGGTGAATCTATTGCCATATACCGGGCACTATTCCAGACTCCGTGCTACTTACTGAGAATTTATAAAAACTCAGTAATACTTTACCCAACCCGGGAATCGAACCCGAGACGACTCAGCCAATGAGGCAGGCAGTAATAATTAGGTATAAATAAATAACTATTAAATAACTACTAAAATATTTGTTAAGTAACTAGCTTCAGCCGTCGGTTTCGCTCGCGTTCCAGTGGTATAAAAAGTAGCCTATGTGATATTCCAGACAATAATCTATCCTAGCTCCAAATTCCACCGCAATCTCTTCAGCCGTTTTGGCGTGGCTGAGTAACAAACTTATACACGACACGCAAATTTTTGCATTTATAATATTAAACTGCCAAACCCCGCGAGGACACCGGTGACCGCAACCTATTGTTCTTTAATTGTGTCTATAATGACAGTACTCAAAGGGTTAAGTAAGATGTTTAGATAAATAGTTTTATATGTCCGTTTCATTACTAGATTACTCTCATGTGCGATTGCTAAGCGAGGGGTTCGATTCCCGGATTAAGTAAAGTATTTTTGGAAACTTTCTTAGTCATAGCATAACGTCTGCTTTGTGCTCGGTATATGGCAATAGGTTCACCTCCTATTACATGGGACTTGTAACATAGATAGTGAGAAGTGGGTGTTACATTGTATAACTAGCTACTTCCGTACAATTGCACCCGTTCTGCTCGGCTCCTATTGGTCGCAGCGTGATGTTTTATTGCCTATAGCCTTCCTCGATAAATGCGCTATCCAACACAGAAAGAATTATTTATATCAGACTAATTGTAGTTACGGAGATTACCGCGTTCAAACAAAAAACAAACTCTTCCGCTTAACTGTCAAACACCAAGAGGTCACCGGTGACCGCAACCTATTGTTCTATAATTGTGTCTATAATGACGGTACTCGACTGTCTATGAATGGCTATAGGCTATAAAACAACGCTACGACCAATAGGAGCTGAGCAGAGCGTGTGAAACCGCGCGGAAGTAGCTAGTAGATAGATAGTATGAGATGTGCTCCTCTGTCTATGACAATGATTTATAGATAGTAGCCATGGCATATAGATTAAAAATATAACGGATTGTTTATCACTCCACTTTGTAACGATTACTCAAGTTATCTTATCTTTTGAAAGATAAATCAGATATGTCTAATGACTGAACTAAGTATTTTTGGCTAACACGATGCCTTAATGAGGTCGTTCAACTTAAATACATATTTTGCCGCCCATGATGCGGAGCGAGGGGGACTGGGATGCCGTCTCCTCCTTTTGCGAAGCAGTCATGCTAGCTAAGGAGGAGGCGGGACGTGTGAGACGATCTCCGGCCACGCAAGCATAGGTAGCTCGCCGCCCGACCAGAACCAGACCCAAGCGTGCGCAGCGCCTCAAAAAGCCATCAGACCACCACGGATGGAGGAGCCCAATAAGGCTGATGCCGATACGGAGCCGTGGATAACATAAAAATTACCGGGGCACCGGCTCGAAGTATAGGAGTAGGAATGGGGTGGTTTTTAATCAGTAAGAGTCTTGACAGTCCCTCCCGCCTCACCCAGGCGGGAGTAGTCATTCGATAATTTTCCCCCCTTAAAAAAAAAGAGTTAATAAAACTGAAAATACCAATAATAGTTTGCCTATTGAATTCGTGTCTTGCACATCAATTGCACTTGAGTATTCCGCAAACGTTAAAGGAACATTGTATTGTCGATTGAGGGTGTTTATGGGCCTTATTTTGCGTGGGAGAGCCATGCTTCGGCAAGTATGAGCCGGCTCAACCGCAGTGATACTACGGCCGAGCAGGACACGGGTGTGAAACAATGCTTGCGTTGCGCGAGTGAGACGATCGTAGACCCTCTCTTTCCCTCATTTCCAAATCATTAAAAAGTCTCCAAACCTCTTTTATGGGCGGTGCCAATGCAGGCTACAATATTTTTGCTCAGTAGACGGCGCTAGTGTGAACCTCTTGTTCTTCGTCCAATACGGAATTAGCTGGAGTCACGCGTCTGAAGTCATTAGACGTTTCATATTATACAAATGCTGTGATTTTACAGAAAAAATCGCTTGCTACATTTCTGTCATCTGTTGAGCCAATAACCATAGCCCCATTACTTACCGTTCTTATGTTACTTACTCTTGAAACCAATCTCAATGTCAATACAATTTCAATCCAATAAAATCTCAATAATTATTCAATGTCAATACTATACAACCACAATCATAGCTGTTACAATAGCATTCAGTCAGAGTACGGAATATAAAGACAAAGTCCATTTAGTTCATTCAATATCCACGCAATACGGGTGCAATGGGCGCTAGTGTTGTAACTCAAGTATACGACACAATATCAATGTCGATCGATAGGAATTGGATTCAAGAGTAAGCCCTCTGATGTTTCGTCTGCTCGTTTACCGCTCCTTTTCGTAAAAAGATGTATTGATTAATGTTTTTTACTTTTTTTCAGTAAGATGCGCACTATACCCGTTAACTCTAATCAAAACACAGATTCAAGTGCAAAGAAAAAAGGAGGCTTACAGCGGTGTCGCTGATGCTATATCTAAGATATATAAAAACGAAGGCGTACCTGGACTTTATCGAGGGTTCTGGCTGTCTAGTGTGAGTAGACCATCTGTAGGCAATTCTTATGTTTAAAACCTCCTTTGTATCGCGATAAGAAAAGAAGGTGGTAAGGTTGACAATATGGTAGATGACTAATTTATATTTTAACTAGCTTTTACCCACGGCTTCGCTCGCGTCACAAATGGATAAAAAGTAGCCTTTGTGACATATACCTAGGGTTGCCACCTTTTATTTTGGTATTTAAAGTACATTGACGATTATAGGTAAGAAAAAAAAGTACATAGTACAAAAATAAAGTACAATTTGTTCTTATTTAGTATTATATTTAAAAATATGTTTTAAATGCTTTTTGCAGTTTGTATTAAATTAGTATCTTTACTAAACAATTGCATCTTTACTTGAAATTGTCTAAGTGGCGCTGGCGAGTGGCGAAATCGATTCAACATAAATCGATAAATATCGATATGGAATCGATAAGTTTACCGAAAAATACTTACGACTTTAATAGAAATGAAGTTTGCAAAAATAAAGTATTTTTGTGTACTTTATTATTCTTATAAAGTATAGAGTACAATTACCTTAAATAACGTACAATACTTTAATATAAAGTACGGGTGGCAACCCTACATATACCTACCAATGCACACAGCGCCATCTATACCAATACTTTTGTTTTCCCTCGGGAATATCACATTTTTCCGGAATAAAAAGTTAGAAGTCCTGATTAAATAATACCCTATTATTTAATCCGAATTTACGTCTGTAAAAATTCAATGCAATCGGTTTAGTAGTTACGGCGTGAAAGCGGAACAAACAAACAAACATTATTATTATAATATTAGTAAGGATGTCCGTCTGGTAGATTATTTAAATACATTAGACACGTATTTTTTATTTTCTCACGGAAACGAATAGTTTCGAAGATATATTGATTTGAAATATCGCATGACGTCACTTTTGAGTACGATTTACACTCTAAAATGACGTATCTACCTCCCACTCCTAAACTTTGATTCGTTTTATCTAAGTATTGCTTTCTTATACGACAAAATAAAAAAATACGTGTGTAATATTTTTTCATTACCTAACTGACGGACTATTTAGATTTTTAATTTTCATACCCTGTCATCTTCCCTATTCGCGTTCGCGGTAAAATTCAAAATTCGAAGCCACGCACACGCCTCGCTCGAACCGGCTCCGCGCTCGCGCCAACAGTCGCCGCCGAAACGTTGAGTGAGTGAGCGTGTTTGAAAACACTTCGCGTTCCCGCCAATTGTTCTCAGTTGTTGAATTCGTTGTGGAAATATCCAGCCCTAATCTGTTACTCCACCAGCTCACGTTAATTAACTACAGTGAGACATAGGGACCAGCACAAACTGGCCGAGATACAGAGAATTTAAAATAAACTTTAATTACTATGACATACTGATGAAAACTGCATGCCAAAGAAGGATGACGACGAACCACGTGCCTTCTGTTATTTTATTCTGTAATTGTTGCGCACATTTTTAAATTTGTTGCGCTTATAGTTTTATAATTATTTCACAAAAGCATTTCCTGCTGGGGTAACGTTACCCCAGCCAGACCTTTTGCTTTCTAATGGGAATATTTAAATAATTACTAGCTATAAAATTAGTTGTCTCGATAAAGTAAAAGTTGTGCCTTATTTTGTATTTGTTCTTTCATCGGTTGCGAAGTTATTCGAGATTCTGCTGGGGTAACGTTTTTGGTTTTGCTAGATCTTTGAAATGGTTTAGCGGATTTTTATCATATTTTGTACATGGCTTCTTAGGAATTAGATTAAATTTGTTGTGCAATAAAAAACTAAAATAATACATAGCATAAATGTTATTTCATTAAATACAAAAACACTTCGATTGGTCCCTGCACTCTCAATAAGAGCTCTAAAGACTTACTTTAACTGTATTTCAATATCATCATAACTTGTTAAATACAGGATACTAATGAAACTTCACATACATTTGAAGGCACTTACAAGCTTTTAAAATAACGTTTAAAGTCCATCCGGCAGATGGCTCTGCAGTCGAGGTCCAGGTTATTTAAACCTTAGTATCTTGAAATATCGTAATAATATGCAGGACATCGTCTGTCGTCGGGTCCGCTAGTTTTTATATATATATATAGTTTCCTTTTTTTCTTCAGTTTCAGATAATCTCAGGAATTTTCTACATAACTACGTATGAAGGTGTGCGGTATGAACTCGGGAAATATGATGTCAGTCCTAAAGTGAAGGTATGTCGATGTCTGTGATGATATAATAATAAATAAGTCAAAGTTATATAATTAATTGTTAAAAAACTGCAAATGTGGCCTCACAGAAAACCGACGTGAAGCAACACTTGCGTTGTGTTTCGTCGTGTGAGTGAGGTTACCGGAGGCCCAATTACACTCCCCGCCCCCAATCTCCCCAATTCCTGAATCCCCAACGATCCTCAAACTCCTAATCCCCAAAAGGCCGGTAACGCACTTGTAACGCCTCTGGTGTTCCAGGTGTCCATGGGCGACGCCGATTGCTTACCATCAGGTGATCCGTCTGCACGTTTACCGGCTTATGCCATAAAAAAAAATTCGGGAGAGCCATGCTTCGGCATGAATGGGCCGGCTCGACCAGAGTGATACCAGCGGGGATATTATGACGTCCTAAAGTCAAAATGGTTCCATTGAGAGAAAGAGACAGAGCTATACAAGTCGTCTAGCGAGATCTCGTTCCCTCAGCGGAAACACTCTGGGTTTAAGACGTCATAATACGCTACCAGGGCCTCACAGATAACCATAGTGAAACGTCGTGTGAGTGAGGTTACTGGTGGCCCAATTATCCTTTTGTGAACCGAGTTAAAATAAATTAAAATGTCGTGGTGGGCCGGAGGTTTAAGACGCCCGCTTCTCATGCAAGAGGGTGCGAGTCCGAAACTTACCAACGGCAAGTACCAATGTGGCTTTTTCCGAGTTATATGTACTTTCTAAGATTATTTAGACACCACTGACAAACGGTGAAGAAAAACATCGTGAGGAAGCCTGGGCTTATAATTTCTAATTATAGCCAACCCGCATTGAGCAAGCGTGGTCATTAATGCTCAAACCTTCTCCGTGTGAGAAGAAGCTTTGTTCAGCAGTGGGCATTTATAGGCTGTTGATGTGTGTGATGTGTTATGTGACCCGAATTAAATGCAGTAGATTTTTTGCCCGCGTATTATTTATCCCATGAGAGTATTCAATCGGGATAAAAAGTATCCTATCACCTAAGTCAGCCCATGCCCTGCCCGTATAACAAATTTCATCAAAATCCGTCTATAGTTTCAGAGTGATTGACGGACAAACATTCAAGAAAGTGACTTTCAAATCTACACAAATAATAAAATCTTAGAAATGTCAAAACTGTACATTGAATATTATTTTAAAAGAATACTTGTAGCGTGATCTACAATTGATACTTAAGTCAAAAATATTGTTTTTAGATTTTTTTTCTGTTTGTCTGTATGTATGTCCGGAATGATCTCAAATAGTACTGCATGGATTTATTCCAAATTTTGCATGAATATTACTGACAAGTCAGGTCAACATATAGGCTACATACAAAATATTATCCCGCTATTATCTACAGGGGAGGAGCCTTATACTAGGTACTCAATCAATTCTGATGACATTCGTTACCGTAGAATATCCCTTGATAAAAACTAATTCAAAAGCCTAAATTCTGCCAAAAGGTTTATAATATTATTGTGATGTTGTTCCAGTCGTTTATAGGCGGTGGTTGTGCGTCGATAGTGGGACAGACCATTATAGTACCGTTTGACGTGCTCAGCCAACATCTCATGGTGTTGGGGCTCGTGAAAGGAAGAGGCAATATTAGGAATCCAGTGAGTATCTATTCTTATTATTAAACTGTCAAACACCAAGCGGTCACCGGTGACCGCAACCTATTGTTCTATAATTGTGTCTATAATGACGGTACTCGACGAGTTAACTCAGTAGGGTTGTCTGAATTTTATTCCAATGTCCGTTTGGTAGATTAATTTAAAACATTAGACACGTATTTTTTCTTTACTCACAATATTAAATACTTTCCACGATATATTTATCTGAAATATCGTGTGACGTCACAGTGTGCTATATTTTGTAGCACGTTGTGACGTAACGCAGTGGTTCCCAAAGTTGTAGAGACTACGACCTATCTAAATGAAGTTACAAACCTAAGGACCCATATATACATAACATCATGGCTGTCTCTAATGGGGGTATCAGACTCTATGTATGGATCCACTTTTAGGAAATGAAACTGTTACCAAAAGGAAAAGTAAAATATAGAATGGTTAGTTAGTGTGTCATTATACAGACAAGGTATACTAAAATTTCACTTGCGACCCACCAATGGATCGCGACCCATAGTTTAGGAAACCCTGACGCAGCGACCTCCCACTCCTAACTTAACTCCATTTTATCTCAGTATTGTAACTTTATACGAGGAAATAAAAAAAAAACGTGTCTAAATTTTTTTCCTGACTGACGGACTAATTAGATTTTTAATTTTCATTCCCTGGCAACTACCCTGTTGTGCCCAGAATAATAAAGTCTAATCATACCAAGTTTCTTAGTAATCGGACTGATGTTTTTTCCGGGATATGTCTGTTTCTAGTGTCTAATGTTTTAAATTAATGTCACACTGAGAACCTTTTTTTAAAGTCGGTTCAAGAATGATGAAATTTTCGAAATTTTAACTTTTTTTTTTTGCTTTTTTCCAGCAAATGAACCCTCTTGGCCTAGATTTAGAGAAGCGTATGTCTAAGGCAGCTCTGGCCAAGGAGGTGGCAGTGAGAGTGTATCAGTTGCATGGACCGCTAGGATACTACCGCGGGTACACAGCTTCACTCGCCGCTTATGTACCTAATTCTGCGCTGTGGTGGGCGCTGTATACTGCTTATCAAGGTAAATTCTTATTTATTTGTATGATTTAATACTATCCAATCAATTTGGTTATAGTATCGTTTGTCTGTTTAAGAATGACGACGAATATTTGAGGAACTTACAATATTAAAACTATGGCAACACTCAATGGAATTACGTTGAATGTCATCAGCTGTGATCGAGTTTGTTTTGCGAATCGATTTTTGTACATACGTAGATGGTGTGCGTTACCCAGGCCAGATGTTGTCGAATATGGTTATTTGAATCTTATAGATAACTAGTTGTGTAATTGTTGCGCACATTTTAAATTTGTTGCGGTTTAAGTATATTAATTATTTAACAAAAACATTTCCTGCTGGGGTAACGTTACCCCAGCCAGACCTTTTTCTTTCTAATGGGAATATTTAAATTATTACTATACTCGGAATTTTAATTCGATTCCAGATTTGACAATTTCAGTGTTGCAACGTTATGACAAGTACTAAATAGTGACGTTGCGAAATTATTCGATATGGAAATGCAATATTTCTGGATCGATTCTTATCGTTTATAATTTTACTCTCGTAAACTAAGTATATCAGGAAATTAAATATTTCTGAACCGATAATTTAGTTTTGACGATTAATAAACGATCTGAGACTTTTCTTTTATAATTTTGTGTGAAATAAATAAAAAAATGTCATCATGAAGGAACATGACAAATAAAACAGATAGATGTATTATGGTAATAACTTATTTTATAAATTGGCGCCGTCATCGCTATCGCTATCCTGTCACTTTCTGTAACATTTATTATAAAACACACACACTGATTGTTTATCGATTTTTGTGTTCATCACTACACTATTATATGTGGTATCATTATTTCACAAAATGACAGTAGGTATTGTCAAATCTGGAATCTAATTAAAATTCTGACTATAGCTATAAAACTAGTTGTCTAGATGAAGTAAATGTTGTGCCTTATTTTGTATTAAAATTTGTTCATTTCATCGGTTGCGAAGTTATTCGAGATTTTGCTGGGGTAACGTTTTTGGTTTTGCTAGATCTTGGAAGTGGTTAAGTAGATTCTTATCATATTTTATACATGGGTTCTTAGGAATTAAATTAATTATTCTGCAATAAAAAAATTAAAATAATACATAGATTAAAGGTTATTTCATTAAATAGAAAAACCATTTCAAAGATCTAGCAAAACCAAAACGTTATCCCAGGACAATATCGAATAACTTCGCAACCGATGAAATAACAAATATCAAATAAGGCACAACATTTACTTCATCTAGACAACTAGTTTTATAGTTAGTAATTATTTAAATATTCCCATTAGAAAGAAAAAGGTCTGGCTGGGGTAATGTTACCCCAGCAGGAAATGTTTTTGTAAAATAATTAATAAACTATAAGCGCAACAATTTTAAAAATGTGCGCAACATTTACAGAAGCCGCAGAACTAAATATGTATAAGATTCAAATGACCATTTTCGACAACATCTGGCCTATCCCCAAAGGAGTTAGAGATATGCAGAGGGGCACTAATGTGCCCCTCTGCATATATATGGGATAGGCCTCGGCACTTGATGACACTGTACAATGTAACACCCACTTTTCACTTTATTGGTTATGAGTTGATCCGATTCGAGAATAGAATTGAGACCCTTTGCTTTGCCGTTTTAGTTGCGATTACTCGACAGTGCACGACCAACTACGACGAGGATTTAATAGATTTTAGTTCAAAAAAATTTGACTTGGGACATGAACATTGTACCATACTAATAAACTAACAATTATGTGTACCTGTCACTTGTTTTTTAGCATGTAAAAGTAAGTTTTGTCTTTATTTTTTACATTTTTGTTTGAATTACAGATGAGCTCCTAAAAATAGCTCCGTCGTGGGTATCGACGCTGCTCATTCAGTGCGCAGCTGGTACATTAGGCGGCTTCACTACAACCTTCCTAACGAATCCATTGGATATAGTGCGCGCTAGGCTACAGGTACGTACAATAGGCCATACCATTTTCTTGCTCATTACATGGGGTAAATGAACCAAGAGGTTTTTTTGTCCAATCCCAGCAGCTGTCAAAAATTTAACGTCCAATGACGTTACACTAGCTAATAGGGTAGACGACTCATTTTTATTTTAATGTCCGACTGGTAGATTATTTAAAAACATTAGACACGTATTTTTTATTTTCTTACAGAAACGAATAGTTTCGAAGATATATTGATTTGAAATATCGCATGACGTTACTTTTGAGTGCGTTACCCAGGCCAGATGTTGTCAAAAATGGTCATTTGAATCTTATATTACCCCAGTCAGACATTTTTCTTTCTAATGAGAATATTTAAATAATTGCTAGCTATAAAATTAGTTGTCTAGATGAAATAAATGTTGTGCCTTATTTTGTATTTGTTCTTTCATCGGTTGCGAAGTTATTCGAGATTCTGCTGGGGTAACGTTTTGACGAAACGTGACGAAAAACTAGGTCACGGTCAGCCTATGTTACTTTATGAAAGAAACAATTTAGCTCATTATAGTCAAAGCACAGGTTGTTTGCCGTATCCTCATACGTACCGTAGCACGTGCTAAAGCACCGATTCCTTGCACTCTGGCCGCGCTCAATTGTCTCTTGGATTCCAATCCAACTAGTGATCTGTTTGCGTACGGATGATGTTACCATTTTTGAAATAACTTTTACTCTTCTTGTTCGTTGTGTATGTTTTGTCTTAGTTTTATTATTTCATCTTTTATTTTATTAATGTGTCCAGTTCTTTACTCTAATTGGGTTTTTTTTCAACCCTTGTCATTGTAAATAAATAAACACATAACAACGTTTGAACATATTTTTTCTTTACAGGTCGAAGGAGTAGGCACAATGAGGCAAATATTCAGAACACTATGGGCAGAGGAAGGTCTAGTAGGACTGTACTTCAAAGGCCTGTCAGCTCGACTACTGCAGTCTGCCTGCTTCTCATTCAGCATCATCCTCGGCTACGAGAGCATCAAGAGAGTCGCGCTCAGCGACGAGTTCAAGCCCAGAGTGCGTTGGTGACGATAATAAATATCTTACGTATATGTTACGTGTTTTATTTCGCTATTACAGATTGACTTTACTGCGATTACAGACTGTCAACGACATTTACAGAATGACATATTATACAGGGTAACTTGTAACTCGATGTATTCCTCTCTGGAGGTACTACACTGTCAAGACAGTACCAGGAGAAGATCAATAATACACAAAATGTCTGTTATTCCTCCAAATTTATTTTATCACCTTCAAAACATGCTCCTTTAGAAACGATACACTTGCGCCAACGAATAATCCATTCATCAAAACATTTTTAAGCGCTGCTTCCGGAATTGAGTTCAGTTCTTGCCGAATATGTCTTTTATCGATTGAAAACGGGTGCCACGAAGTGGTGATTTGAGTTTAGGAAAAAGAAAAAAGTCAGCAGGAGCCATATCTGGCGAATATTTTTTTTTTAAAACGTTGCCCCACACTAAGATTATCTCCTGTGTCGTGGGTGTGTTAACAAACATACAAGTTCACATACACATGACACCCAGACCCGAAACAACAATTTGTGGAGTTGACACACACGCAAAGAGTTGTTCCGTGCGGGAATCGAACCCGCGACACGTTGCACGGCAGCCAGTTGCCCAGCCACCGCACCAACCGTGCAGTCAAGTCATATGGTGGTTGCTGGATGGTTTTTGTTGAGTGTTTGGTCAAAAATTCGTTCACAATGATGGCCTTGTGCGAAGGCGCATTGTCGTGGTGCAAAATCCAAGATTTTTTTTCCACAAATCTGACCATTTTCGTCGCATTTGCTCTCTTAAACGCCGCATATCGCTCAATTAATATTCTTTATTTAATATTATTCATTTAATCTAAGTATAAACACAGACTCAATATGCTAGTATGATCACAGTTAACATCCCGTAACCTATTCAAATCTATAAACTCATTTGCCATCCCTATACTCACATACTCTTTTGGAATTATAAACTGGTCAAAAACCGATCTAACGAAATTACAGCGGTCTATCAATACATCTTTGACCATAAACAGATAGCACCACCCACGATCCTGTGTGCTAAGACTCACGCTACGGAGAGGAGATGGAGGACGGGGTCTTATTGACACTGAAAAACTTCACAACCAGCAGATTGCCAACTTAAGAAAATATTTCTCCCACAAAGCTCAACAATCCCCCCTTCACAAACTCATTTCATATTTAGATAAAAATTACACCCCACTGAATTTGCACTCTTCTGGCCCACAACGTAATGTGCGCATAACCACTAAGTCAGACAAAATTGCAGCTTGAGAACGTAAATCCCTCCATGGAAGACATCGCCTCGACTTACAGCAACCTCATGTCGATATTAAAGCATCGAACGCGTGGCTGAGGCGAGGTGAACTCTTCCCTGAAACGGAGGGATTTATGATTGCCATACAGGATCAAGTCATTGACACCGCTAATCACCAAAAATACATAATCCGCATACCCAACTACAATGACAGTTGCAAGCATGCCACGGTGCTCCGGAGACAATCCAGCACATTACTGGCGCCTGCAGAGCAATAGCCTAAACTGACTACAAGCACCGTCACGACCAAGTAGCCGCGATAATCCACTAATAAAAAACAACAAAACTTATTACAGAAAGAATGCCATACTATAAATACAAACCAAATACAGTACTCGAAAATGAGAATTTCAAATTGGGACAGAACTATAATAACAGACAATATATAACGAACAGGCCAGACATTACATTGTAAGATAAACAGAATAGACTAGTATAGATATAGCTATATGCAATACATACAACCTTGTTAGCACACATACAGACAGCAAAAATACATCGATTTATCTATTGAAATTAAAACACAGTGGTATGTTACCCAGACTAAAACCATACCCAGAGTATTATCCAGCACAGGAGTTAGTCCAAAAACTGGCCTAGCCTGAATTAATTAAATATTAGCCCATAAACTTATCTCCTTTTACAAAAAGCCGTTATTTTGAATACATGCCGTCTTACCCGCAAGTTTTTAAATACCTAAGTATAGCACTTCTTTTTAGCACTTAGCTTCGGCCCGTGCCTATTTTAACCCCAATCGATGGGAGAAATGTAGAGCATAAACGGAAATAATAATAATAATCTTTATTGTACACCTTAAAGCAATATAAACATAAATGTAGAGTTACATCCAAGAATAGTAGGGCACAAAGGCAGCCTTATCACTAAAAGCGCACTCGAATCTCTACCAGGCAACCTTTGGGTGGATGGAGCACTGAATGATATTGGAGGTGATTCTAGGCGTACCTACTCAGATTCTTACATCACATACCTATACATACATACATATGTATTTACCATTAGACCTTCCGGTAAGAATTCAGAGTGCACAACACCGCGATAGTCAAAGAAAACAGTCAACGTGGCTTTGACTTTTGAACGACTTTGGCGTGGTTTTTTCGGTTTCGGTTCAGTTGAAAGGCGCTACTCCGAAGCTTGTTAACTAGTTTGCATGTCAAACTCATAAACCCATGGCTCGTCACCAGTAACAATGCGTTTCATGAATGTTGGGTCCGAACTGAGTCGTTCTAGCATGTCCTCAGCGACTTTCATGCGATTGAGTTTTTTAGAGAAAATTCAGATCTTTTGAGACTAGCCGAGCAGCAACATGTTTCATACCCAAATGATTAGTTAAAATGGTACGAATCGACTCGTGAGATACAGAAAGTTTAGCGGCTATCTCTCTCAGAGTTCAATGGGGATTTTCAGTCACTATTTCCTTCACTTTTGCGATGTTAACTTCAGTTGCACATGTTGACGCCCTACCAGAGCGAGGCAAATCTTCCATCACATCTCGACCACTTTTGAACGCTTTGAACCACTCATAAGCACGAGTTTTTGATAAAGTCGATTCACCGTAAGCTTTCTGTAACAATTTCAGTGACTCCAACACAAAATTTCATTGGCGATACAAAATTTAAGACAAAATCTTTATTCGATATTTTTGTCCATTATGAAATTCGCAATGCACGCTATATATGATATTACTATAACCAGCACTGTATTTAATATAAATGCATAGCATGTAACTCGGAACTCCGCGGCAAAATGGAAAACAGTTGTGCCAATCTAACACTAACAACTACAAAAAAAAAATTGAATTTGGAACCATAAACAAATCATCTATTCCCGATACTTTTTTGACTGAATGAATAATTTCCCACAAAATTAGCCCTGAGGTCTCTGGTCCGAAAGTGGCGAGTTAAAATGAATGAAGTGTTTTTCTATTTAATGAAATAATCTTTAAGGTATGTATTATTTTGGTTCTTTTATTGCAGAACAAATTTAAACTAATTGCTAAGAAGCCATGTACAAAATATGTTACGAATCCGCTTAACCATTTCAAAGATCTAGCAAAACTAAAAACGTTACCCCAGCAGAATCTCGAATAACTTCGCAACCGATGAAAGAACAAATACAAATTAATGCACAACATTTACTTCATCTAGACAACTAGCTAGTAATTATTTATATTCCCATTAGGAAGGTCTGGCTGGGGTAACGTTACCCCAGCAGGAAATGTTTTTGTGAAATAATTGAAAAACTATAAGCGCAACCAATTTAAAAATGTGTGCAACAATTACAGAAGTCGCACAACTAATTATCTATAAGATTCAAATGACCATTTTCGACAACAATTGGCCTGGGTAACGCACACTAAAATATCTTGGCAAAATATTCAGTTTTTTTTTTTTCAAATAAAATAATCGATGTGTTTCTTGTAGCTCAAAATCGATACACCATATACCACCATATACCATGTACACACCTTTCATACAGACTCTGGCAAAGAATTCCACTTCTTAGCAGTACGCACAAGGAAGCTTGATGCGAAGCGCTTCGTGCGTGTGGGTGGAATAATGTACCATGAATCGGTAACGTTTCGCCGATTGTCTTGGGGTTTATGGAAAGGCCTAGGAGGAATCAAGTTGAGCAATTCCCCCGCACACTTACCGAAATGTATCCAGTAGAAAACTGAAAGGCTTGCAAGCTGAGGTTTGAGGCTTTGAACCTGGGCGTCCACAAGCGCATCATCGTTGATGAGCCTCTTTGCACACCTCTGAATGTGCCCTAACGCGTCCAGCTAATATTTAGTCCCAAAGATGAGAGCAGTACTCCATACAGGACCGAACCTGTGCTTGGTACAGGCTCAGTAATTGTTCCGTCGTGAACTACCGTCTCACCCTCCGTGAGATACCCAACTTCCTACCACCCAGTTAAACTTTAGACTCTATATAGGAGTCAAATTTGAGTGTGCGCCTCAGAGTTGCGCCAAGAAGCTCAGAAGCTGATCAGTTATCGTCAGGAGAATATACACACCTGGGTTTCATCAGCCCAGTCAAAGATCACGTTCAAAGACGAGTTCAAACGCTCGACCATGGGTTCTCTTAGAGACCGGATCTGTGTCCCGTAGTCCGCGCATCAACACGTACCTTTCAACAACTGTGCTGTCATCTGCACACTCAAAGATACCGGGCTTAAGCAGGTCGTTTATGTGCAGCAATAAGAACGTCGAAGCAAACCTTAACTTCCAGTTGAAATACCAAGAATCTGAACAGAAATTGTAATTTTTTCAATAAAATTTTTACTGTCTGTTATGTGGAAAAAATATACATTGATGTTGTAGATCTTTTCAATACCTACAACTTTGCCATCGAACTTTTTTCCATACGACTTGTAGTTTTGCCGAAAATAAAGATTAACATTTTTAACCCTTAAAAACTCACCCCCTCCGACTTTCCGATCTCGAATCGACCGTAATTTATTTTTCCTTTAATTTTTTTCATCCTAGTTTTTTTTTGGTTTCAAAAATTATCGACCCTGCAGCTGTAGCCAAATGCGCCATTTAGCGCTTGTCTAGTAGAGTAGAAAACTAAATTTTAGGGAATTGACGTAAATTTTGACACTTGTCAGTGTCATCCCCATACATTTATTAGTTTTCTACTTTCTCTGTTGTAGTGTGCGCTAAAGTGGCGTATGGCTAAGGCACAGGTTTATATTTGAATCTAATCAAATGGAATAATAATAAACTCAGCAGAATACCACAGAAAATCACTTTATTCACAAAATAAATCATATTATATCAATACAAATAAATATGTATATACTTGAAACTTAAACTTAGATAATATACGACATTTTAATCTATGACTAGGTATTGATTAATATAAATGATAAACATCTACATATAATAAAAACTGGAATGTCCCTCACACTCTGATCACAATTTAGGCTCTGTATTATTATTCAAAATAACGATAACAGTAGTCGCACTAAACAAAACAATGTGATTTTAAAATTTCTTTGACCTCTGCCTACTCCATTTTATAATGGGTACATCGTGTAACCTATTTCGATTTCGTGCCGCGGCAAAACAACTGCCATACGAAATACTTTCAATGCATAAAGTAAAAACAAAAAAGTCATTTTATTATTTTTTTAAATATTCATTGAAATACGTACGTGTGAAACACTAGCATGAGACATACTACCTAAATTAACTAAAAATCGCGGGTTTACACATGTAAATAATAGAGTAGGCTGCGCGACATCGCTGCTCATGAGGAAGAACCTCTCTGTGGTTCGAAACTAGTTGAGCTTTTCTCAGTATATTCACGTGAATAACCCGCAATTTTTAGTTAAACTAGACTAGCAAGCAATTGAATAAAATATGTACCTTATTCTATTGACTGATATACTTATGTAATAAAATTAGGTCTTATTTATTATAATTAGGTATTACAAATATTTTAAATTACTAGGTGTGGATTACAGGGTCTGAGTATGACTAGAATAATCAATCTTAAATCTAAAATTCTACCTTTTCCTTTATTATATGTATTAAGGTCTTTTGAGACCACATTGTTTAATTTTAACATAAAAATATGAATTAATAAAAATATTCGCCTGCCTCGTTGGCCGAGTGGTCGCAAGTGCGACTGGCCGGGCAAGGGGTCTCGGAAATAAAGTCCCAAACATCGATGTGTAACAAACCTAATTAAATATACATAACACATAACATCACGCCTTTTATCCCCGAAGGGATAGGCAGAGGTGCACATTACGGCACTTAACTCGTCGAGTACCGTCAATACAGACACAATTATAGAACAATAGGTTGCGGTCACCGGTGACCGCTTGGTGTTTGACAGTTTAATGCCACTGTACAATGTAACACCCACTTTTCACTATTTATGTTATGAGTCCCATGTAATAGGGGGTGAGCCTATTGCCATATACCGGGCACAATTCCTGACTCTGTGCTACTACTGAGATTTTTAAAAACCCAGTAGTACCTACTTTGCCCGACCCGGGGAACGAACCCGAGACCTCTTGACCAGCAGTCGCACTTGCGCCCCGGGTCGAGCAAAGTATTACTGGGTTTTTAAATATTGGGTGCTAATTAAGGCAGCTTCTTTAAAATGTCATTCTCGTCTGCAAATATATTTAGTTGTCTAATGAATTAATAGGTCAGCGACAAACTTTTAGCGTCTAATAAATGGTTTATAAGCGACCATATATTGTAAAACAAGCTACTGTTAATATGACGCAACATTTAAACTAATATTTTTAATATAAACGGCTAAATGGTATGAAAAGATTTAAAAAGCAGTTAGTGATATAACGCTCGGCGGCCGCTACCGCGGCACCGCTCGCTACGCTCGCTCGCCTCGCGCCTTGTGAGGGTCGCAGTTCTAACCTAACCTAACCAAATGTTTCGGGGTGCCCAAAATTGCTGTGCAGTCAGTCAACATTAGTCGCTGAGTTATCAAATCAGAAGTAAATATATTTATCGGTAGCTCGGAGTCATATTAATTTACGCTCGTAAATTGACGCTGGTTTCTTGATATTTTGTTGGAATAGTAAAGATGATGAATTAATATAATTGAAGCTGTTCTATTAACTCGTCGCTCACATATAAAAAAAGACGCTAGGTTGCAGGTGCTAAAGAAAACTTTTGTTGCCGCACATATAATTTCCCTTAAATATTCTCAGTAGTAGCACGGAGTCTGGAATTGTGCCCGGTATATGGCAATAGGCTCACCCCCTATTACATGGGACTCATAACATAAATAGTGAAAAGTGGGTGTTACATTATACAGTGGTATAATGTGCACCTCTGCCTACCCTTTCGGGGATAAAAGGCGTCATGTTCTGTTAATGTTATGTGTTCATTTCATATTCGTATCCGAAATTTCATATCCATAACATCCCTGATAAAAAGGTATACATTTTGACATATATCGACTATCGACGACCGTCTAACAAGTACTACATTATTAAAAATTACAAATATTTAATAACTAGCTTTTATCCGCAGCTTCGCTCGCGTCACAAAAGGATAAAAAGTAGCCTATGTGACATATACCAATACACACAACGCCATCTATACCAATTCTTTTGTTTTTCCTCGGGAATATCAAATTTTTCCGGGATAAAAAGTACCCTATTAATTAATCTGGACTTCTAACTTTACGTCTGCAAAATTTCAAAGCAATCGGTTTAGTAGTTACGGCGTAAAAGCGGAACAAACAAACAAACAGACTCACTTTCCGATTTATAATATTAGTAAGGATAATTTTATTCCGTAGTTTTGGTGAATAAGTGTACCCACGGCCACACATCAATCTATACAAAACCAGTTTATCCTGGTGTCGCATCGCATCATCTTTCCGCACATTTAACGTTCAGTTTATACTGGTTATGTAAAGCTCGCTGTGTAGCTGTGTATACTGCACTAAATATACAGTAAGATAATTGAAAACAAATAATACCTACATAAAAGAATTAAAAAAAAGTTTCCATAAACTACTGATAATATTTAAAAAACATGGTCTTCATAGAACAGTTTGTCTTTGAAACAAGTTTCCATACGTCAAATAAAGAGTATAGATGGCGCGACTAGCGTGGCTTGGCAAAAGAGTTGGCAATAATTGAGGTCGCTATTGTCTATCGTACTTTTGGTAATCTGTTACACTACGACGCAACCGGTTTTGATATTTTTCATTTTTATTGAATGTAAAATGAGGAGGTACTATTTTCGAATGATTTACTCATGAGATATGTATGGTTCGAAATGGATAGTTCAGTACAAATGAATATTAGTTCCAGCGCCAAACTCTTTTTTGCCAAGCTGTACAAGAAATCGTTATAAATATCCTCTTTTTAGAAGATATTTTGCATCGTTACTTTTCAATGTGTACACTTTATTGGTTTCTTTGGTGGGCTTTTAGCTCTTTTAGATAACTATTTATATTATTAAAATGTCGGTTTCCCAAAATATGGTGTATCTCATTCACTCGCTTGAAATACTTATTACACAGTCTACAGTGAAAAGTGTGCACATCTGCTTTTGTTACGCAATTATGTGTGACAAAGTTAGTATATAATTTTTCGTATATCATCGCCCGTGGATTCACTGCACGTCTTTCGTACAAATACTTGATCATTTCTTCTTTGTTAAATTGCTTTTCAATTTGCAATGTCAAAATGTGGTATTTGCTATAAATATGGCCGATTACATCAATCACTTTCTTATCGCAATAGCTACAATTGTAGCTGCGATAATATTTCACAATGCCATGGAACTCGAATAGTGAAGTTTCATACATTTCGTGTTCTTCACTTTCCATATGTTTAATTATGATTTCATTTTTATTGCGAAATTCTAAAGGACAGATTTCACATTCGACTATATGTCTTGGCTCGCAGAAACGTATGAATAACATATACAGCTGCATTTTTTCGAGATCTATATGTTCTTTGCTTGACATATGTTTAACGATTTTAGATTTCTTCTTTTTTAATTCAACATTGCATACAGTGCACAGCATTAAATTCTCATCAATGCTTTTCAAATACGACTTATAATCGGTTAAATTTAAAGAATCTTTAGACCCAGAGTCCACTTTAACATAATTTTTATTAGTGGTATCTGAGAAAAATTGCTTACACTGATACGGTTTGCCTGTCAAATCATTTTGAACCTTAAACCCGTAAGTTTTACAGAACTCTTTCTCCGAAGACATTTGTTCTAATTTATCCAAATGCGATACGTCATTGATATGTTCTATTAAATCACTGCCATTCAGCACGACCTTGCATAGATTGCAAGTATATACGTCGACATCTCTTTTAAATATATGATTCTTAATGCGAGCAATTTTTATATGTTTCCTCGAGTTTAAATGTTGGTAGTAATTTGGAAATTCTACGTGTATGTTGCAAAATAAACAGAGGACGGGAGATTTTACTGACTTGATTGGTTTTGGTATAACAGATTTAGCAGTTGATGATTGGTGAGTTGCGCTTTGCAAGTGGTATTGTGAATCGAGTAGTACAGCTTCGTTGCAAACTATGCAGTGGCCGGGTTGTCGATCTTGATTTTGGTTTGCGGTGAGCTGAAATTAAAATTAGTATTGTGGTTAGTTTTGGGGATCAGTTTAATTTTAGGGGGAGAAATCATCGAATGGTTGCTCCAACCTGGGTGAGGCACTGAGGCGGGAGGGAGTGTCAGACTCTTACCGACTAAAAACCACCCCGTTCCTATTCCTGCGCTTCGAGCCGGAGCCACGGAAACCCGTTAGGTTCTCCGCGACTTTGTGAAGCAGTAGGTCTGTTTTACGATGGGGTAGGTAGAGTCTAAAACTCATATCCGACTGGTATTTTTCATTTCATTTTCAGACGACTTCAGTGGAAGGACGAAAAAATGAAAATTCGTTCGTTATTTTTTTTTTATGGCATAGGAGGCAAACGAGCAGACGGATCACCGAGTGATGTCGTGCGTCTCGAAATCACTTTAGTTTGTGATAATTTAATCAAATCAGAGTAAACGTTTACTCTGTGCAGACAGTAATTTTTTTGTTCATTCCGAGTGAATGATGCCGAATGTCTTAAAATCCAACATCGTTGGATCGGTTTACTAATTCATTGAATAAATTTTTACAAACCAAAGTGATTCCGGGACGCACGACATCACTCGATGACATATTTTAAACTGTCAAACACCAAGCGGTCACCGGTGACCGCAACCTATTGTTCTATAATTGTGTCTGCAAAACCGGTACTCGACGAGTTAAAAAACAATTTAAAATCTATTTTTCTTATTGGGAACCGAACTTAACACACGTTGCTATGCAGTTACACTAGCGACCTCTATCTAATAAGTCAGTCTAATAAGAACACTGAAATGGGTCCAACAAGATTTTTTTTAATTATGGATATTGAACCCACCCAACATTCTTTTAAGTGTGGGAGAGCCATGCTTCGGTATAAAAAACGACGTGAAACAAGACGTGCATTGCGTTTTGCCGTGCGAGGTCGCCGAAGGCCCAATTAACCCCCCCACCCACTTCCCCAATCCCTGAATCCCTAACAATCCTCATATTCGTAATCCCCAAAAACCTGGTAACGCACCTGTAAAGCCTCTGGTGTTGCAGGTGTCCATGGGCGACGCCGATTGCTTACCATCAGGTGATCCGTCTGCTCATTTAAGGGAAGGGCTTATCCCACAAAATAACGAACTCTATCAAATCTATGTATAGTTGTATAGTTGTTTCACTCCAAGCATCCATCAGTAGCTTAACTCGTCGAGTACCGGTTTTGTAGACACAATTATAGAACAATAGGTTGCGGTCACCGGTGACCTCGCGGTGTTTGACAGTTTAATAATTGAAATAAACTTGCTAAATATACCTACTAGAATACTTGTACAAATGCCAATCATAAGAACCTTATTGCTTGAAAAACAAGTTACAAAACAGAAAAACAAAATACACTTACCTCCCTGAAAAAATACTCGTTAACCGGCAATAGTACAAGTTTCACATGCTGTTCAGACATTTCATGAGTATTGAGACTCGTAGCAAAATCCTGAATCCAATACTTGCACAACTGACAATAAATCTTGCTACATATCACTTTGTAACTGTGAAAATTTTGCTGTAAAACTTTAAATTTCACACTTTTTATATTTTCCAAAATCACATAGTCTCCGTCCGTATCAATTTTAGCATTTAAATTGTATTTATTCATTATTGTCTTTAAATAATTCTCAAAATTCAGTGTCTCCGGGGATATTTTTATATCCAACTGTTGTATGTTTGCTAAATTGCTAGTCGTAGTAGCTGCGATGAATTTTTGATCTTCAAATTTTGATTTTGATTTCTTTTTTAAATCTGAACAAGATTCGTTGTTATTAATATTGCTCAAAGCGTTTTGAATATTATTTTCTTGGCTTAGAGTTACAGAAGATTTTTCTAGATAATTTTTAAAATCTAGAAACTTTTGTTTTAGGGAAACAGCTCGGCGAGTGATTTCTATATTTTGATCATTAATTTTGTCGTGAGCCTTTTTAATTTTATTCAGTAACTCATTTGATGATTTATAATTGTCATCACTGTCATGTGTATAATCACAGTCAGTTTTATTCTCTTGATCAACATCTTGATTGTCAATATTAATTTGATTTTCAACAGGTTCAAGTGTATTCTTTTCAATACATTTAGCTATTTCTTGTTCATAATATTTAGAAAAATACATTTTGTTCTCATCTTTGCTTTCTGAGTCTTCGTTATGTTGGTTATTTTCTGTGTCAGTTATATCTCCGTTGTAGTCATTATTGTTTTTGTTTACTTTCTTTTCATCATTATCAGGATCATCGTGATGCTGACAATCAACTTCATTAGTTGCAACTCCGTTACATTCATTATCATTATTAAACTTAATTATGGTATCATCGTTATTACCAGTAATTATTTCCCTTGTTTCACGGACAGCATTAGAATCTTCATCACTGTCATTAACATAATTATCTTTCACACTTTCCATATCATCGTTCATTTCATTACCTTTGGTATCTTTATCGAATAAATTATTGAATTTATTCAATAAAACAAAATTTTCCAAGGAATTCATATGTTCAGTTGACGATTCATGTTTTAGTTTATCTTTCAATAGGAATATTTTTGAACATACTTCACAAAAATATTCAGCATCATGTATTTTTTCAGTATTCATGATTTCTTCGGTATTCATGTGGTTCTTTATTCTTCTGAGGGCTGTGTTACATATGTTTTTGTATAGGTAATGTTGTGCGCTCTCTGAGTGAGCCAGACGACCCGCGATTGGTACTTGGACGTCGCAAATGTGGCATAGATATGTTTGTGTGGGCACTGGAACGGAGAAAAAGTGAAATTATTGTCCGTATGTAATTTCTTGTAGATTTTTTTAAATACAATATTTTTATGATTGTATATTTTTGCATATGTGTAGTTTGATTATTAATGATGTTTTAGTCAGTATAATCAACATTTTATGTGGTTTTTTAGATGCCAAGATTAGGATTTTTTGATATTTTTTTTAATAAATTTTTCTTAATGTTTAAAGTGTACAAAAATTGTTGTTATATTTGATACAAATAAATAGATATTTAATATAACAAAAATGAAATCGCTCCGGCACTTTCAGCTTTACATTATTATAACTTAAATAAGAAGAACCTCACAAAGGAGCCTTGCAATGGCATTCGCTTAAGTTTAAAAAATATAAATAAAAACAAGAAAAATATTCTCCACTCACCAGACCAACTAATATCAGAGTTCCCCATGACTTTTTTAGACACAATTTTGACCTCACAGTACTCCGAATCACCATTCAATTTTGATTTAGACCATAACTTCATCGGCCTATCTCTTGGCCTATCCATATATTTCCGGAGATGTAAGAGATCCAGTTCTTCCAACGGTATGATGTATGAGACATTTTCTGTCGACACATTCATAGTAATCTGAAAATTAAAAACAAAATCTACTATCTTTTATCATTTACAGTTGAACAAGAAAACAATCTAACTAGAATTTTAAAATAATCTTATAAGATTGACATAAATTTGTCCTAGTGCGAACCGCTAAGGAGTGGAACTCCTTGCCGGAGTCTGTGTTTCCTATAATATACAATTAGAAATAAGATGAAATCTTTATTTGTGATATGTAGGTAACATGTGGTTGGTAATTTTTAAATTAACTTACATTATGTTCAGCCTCTTTTTGGCATACATCATCATCATTATCAGATCATTTATAGTTTATTATTAATCAATAAATAAGAAAGGTATGTAAATAAGAATTTGTAGCGTTTCTATGAATTACATGTCAATTATCGACAGTCTGTAAGTGGCCACTGCTGACCAAAGGCCTATTCTCACACGGAGAAGGCATAAGCATTAATCGCCATGCTTGCTCTAAGCAGGTTGGCAATTTCAAACTCATAATTAGAAATTATAAGCTTAACCCATAAATCCCCAAGCGGTCACCGGTGACCGCTTTTCACTAATATTACATTACATTATAGACCTTATTTCTAATGTTTAGAGAATACTTTTGTATGACCAAATTTAGGGGATGGATATCAACGGGTTAAGTTTCTTTCACCATTTGTCAGCGGTGTCTAAATAGTCTTAGAAAATACATAAATATAACTCGGAAAAAGTCACATTGGTATTTGCTGTTGGTAGATTTCGAAGCCACACACTCATGCATGGGAGGAAGGCATTTTAAGCCTCCAGGCCACCACAACTCTGTCATTTCAACATAAAAGTCTAATGAGGAAGACTATATAGTACACAATAAGTAATATAAGATGATGTTAATGAGGTAATGAATGCATTATTGAGACTTGGGTGTCTTCAAGTCCCAAGTGAACAGGTTGCTTACAGGTAGGCGTGGTCCATTGTTTTTCACATCAGCACTAGGCAAGTTAGTGGCCAAAAAATATCTTAACATTTGGAAGACAAATTGTGGAATGCAGGCTGATCAGTAAAAATTTTGAGAGTACACATCCCTAAGTGACTGGTCATAATTTAAAAGGACATTCTTTAATCTCAGCTATATTTTTTTTTATTTTTAATTTATTGAATTTCTGCTTTGCTTAGTTACAGTTAGCACATTAGTGGTACAAGTACAAATAGATAGTGATCCTTTTTTTTGAAGTCTGGAAATAGCGTCGCAGGGACATGCGACGCGCAGACGCGGAAATCTTACAACGAAATTACCTCGAATTGAAAAATATCAGTAAAACACAGACTTTAACATTCGCTTTTTATAAGTAGATGCGTAATATTATGAGATTTATTTACTTACACCGTTTGTAACTAAAAATTGGTACATTTTCTAGTTTTTTATTGAACTGCAGATTATCGATCCACAGATGCATTTTGAAAAACCTCGAAAATACAAATGTTATCCTGATTATTTTGACAAAACTGTCCGACAGTAATACAAAGTATTCAATTTGAAACAAAAATAAATATGAATCCAACAAGAATCTTATAAGATTATTTTAAAATAAAATTACAAAGTTTTTATATAGCAATGCGAAATTATGAATGAAAGCTATCTAAATAGAAAGATTTATACTTACAATATCCCTCAGTAATTCAGGAATATAATTAGAACTATTAAGAAATGCTATAAACCAATGATACTGCGAAGTTTTCCGGCATTTTAATTACCATAACAAAATAGCGATCGACCGCAGTCGCACGGTTCGCAAAAGAAGACCACAGATTACTATATACTAGTCAGAGAAGACAATGAATGAAAGAAATATGTGTGAGTGAATGAAGTGAGTAAAATTCATTCGTTCGATTTGACAGCAAAGTAATCACGTTCACGTTTGTCCACAGATTTATCTATCAGCTTATCTATAAGCAGACTAAACATTAATTCCTAGTTATACGTATATGATATCTATCATTCTTTGTCGTTGTATGTCAGCACAAACCTAATAATGGCATCTCGTTCTTTTACGTGTAGCTACACTGCCTGCTAGACATAGATAAATTTTCACATGAAGCCAGTTTTTCCGTGCCGCCATATTGATAAGCGTCTACCTACAACTGTGTCAATCTCGTTTTATAAGAAAATATTAATTGTTTATACTATTAAACGTAAAAAAAATGTTCAAGTATAGTGCATACCGATTCGACAGCAATAGCTTTAAGAAAATACCTGGAAATAACCTTTCATCGGTAAATTTTCATTTACGTTGTTGTAGAGTAAACCAAATTGTCTATTTTTAAAAATAAATCAACTGTTTAGATAATGTGTAATCGTTTATAACGAAGCCTTATCAACTATTACGCCATTTAGCCCTTAAGTTTACATAAAACACATTAAACAAAAATAATAAACAAATAAAATCAACTTAATTTTTCATTAATTTGACTTGACCGTTATTCGAAGCTTATTTAATTGAGATAGGCCTTCCGCTTCCCTCCTTCCGCTTTTCCTATATGTCTATCTCTTTCTACTACGTCACTTCCATTTGGCAGTGGTGGGGAGGCTTGCTAAGAGAGACTCGCCATTTTTATTTCATTGAGTCTCATTACCAGGCAGAGCTTGACTATAAGCTTCGAATAAGGTAAGTAAATTAATATGCGTTTTATTGGTAGGTAAAACGCTTCCATTAATTTGACTTGACCGTTATTCGAAGCTTATTTAATTGAGACGTGTTTGTTATCGCCTGGTGGAAGTGACAGACGCCAATGTGAGGTAGTATGACTGCGTTGACCGCAGTCGTACTACCTGGTATGATGTGGTAAAATCACAGAATAGAAAAACTAAGAAAAATAGCAAATATCTAAAAACATATACATGTTTTGATGAAAGGTATTGAATAGAAAACCTGTTATTTTTAATTTTTTCAATAATAATTGTATTTGATCTGAACAAAAACAGATGTTATATATTTCTGAGGTATTTTATTGCCTCGTTTCTAATTTTCTAATCGTCTGTATTGAATAAAAAGGTGACATACAAAGGCACACACATCTTAGAAAGGATCGCCTCAAAAGGATAACTATCCACTAAATTTTTTCAGATCACAGCTGATCTGAAACCCTCAGGATATCTTGGGGGATTACTGATATCTTAATATCGGTTACCACCAAGAAGGAACTTTATCCTGACCGCAATTA